ACTTCATGTTATGAAGGTTGAGCCTCTCGAAACATTCCTGGAGGTGTACGACGTGGTCTTGCTCTTTGAGCGATTTCACGAGCATATCGTCGATGTACACTTCCATTGTTTTTCCGAGTTGTTCGGAGAACATTCGGTTGACGAGTCATTGGTAAGTCGCGCCAGCGTTCTTTAGACCGAAAGGCATCACTTTGTAGCAGTAGGTTCCACGATCGGCTATGAATGCGGTTTTCTCCCGATCGTCGGGATTCATCATGATCTGATTGTATCCCGAGAAGGCGTCCATGAAAGATAAGAGTTTATTTCCCGCGGTTGCCGCGACTAAGCGGTCGATGTGCGGTAGCGGATAACTATCTTTCGGACACGCTTTATTGAGATCGGTGAAATCGACGCAGACTCGCCATTTTCCGTTCTTTTTCTTTACGACAACGGGATTGGCGAGCCAGTCAGGATATCAAACTTCTGTGATCGACCCTACTTTGAGGAGTCTGTCGACTTCGCTGTTGACCGCTTCGGCGCGTTCCGGCCCCAGCTTCCGTCTTTTTTGTTTGACGGGTTTGGATGTCGGGTCAACGTTGAGTTCATGACACGTGATGTTTATATCTATCCCTGGCATATCTTCCGCAGTCCAAGCGAACGTGTTCGAGTTTCGTTTTAGACATGTCAGGAGTTCGACTTTTAAGAACTCGCTCAGGTTTGCACCGACTTCGACACAGCGTTCTGGAAAATTCTCGTCGATGCATACCGAGATGACGGGTTCGCAGGTTGGCTCGCGCTTACCTTCCAAAGCCTCAGCCGCTCGCAACTGCCAGAAGAGTTCCGTTTTGTCTTGCTCTGGGGCGTTGTCGAGGATCATCGACTTCTTTTTCTTTTTGGAAGATATGTCGACCGACAGATTTTTTCTTTTTAAATCCGCGGCGTAGCAAACCTGCGAGGTTCGTCTATTTCCCCATATAGTCTCAATTCCGTTCGGAGTCGGGAACTTGAGACACATATGGTACGTCGACAGAATCGCTTGCATCGAATTCAACCACGGTGTCCCTACGATTGCGTTATAGGACATAGGTCGATCGACGACTTCGAACTCGACGTTTTTCACTATGCTCCCGGCGCGAACTGCCAAGTTGATCGTTCCGAGGGTCATAGTGATTTTTCCCGAGAGTCCCACTAGCGGGCTTACGTTTTCCGCGATTTCAAATAGATCGATTTTCATTCTCTCGAGAGAATTTTTGAAGATGATATCAGCCGAGCTTCCGGTATCGACTAATATTCTCGCGACATCCATATTCCGGATCGTCAGCTCAATAACGAGAAGATCGTTGAGAGGTTTGACCGAATCGATCGTTGCTCTTTTCTCGAACGAGATGACGTCGCCGTTCAGATTAGGCATGTTATTTCTCGTCCGTTTTAGCGACTATTGTGTAAGAGAATCCGAACCCCCCCCCCCCTCCTTCTAGCGCCAAACTGTGGGAACCGAAATCCACACTGTCAATTTTCCGTCAAATATGGAAACTTAGGGTGAAACCCTAATTTTCCCGAGGTCCTGGATCTCTGCGAAAATCACTAAAACAAACGAGTTTAAAAGAATAAGGATGAACAATGAAGAATAAAGAGTAAGAATTTGAATGAGAGTTTTTATTGAGTTAGAATCGACAACTGTTACAAGAAGAATTGAAGAACTTAGACGTCGAAACGTTCTAAGGATCTGAATTGCTAGTCTAAACGCTAAGTCTTAATTTCCTAAGCTAACAGCCGTCTTTTCTAGGTCTGATTTCGTCCCCTCCTTCTGCCCTGCGCCTCTGGTTTATATACTCCTTGCCTTGACGGTTCGATCTTTCCATTTTGCCGGGTTTGAGTATTTCGGGAATCTTCCACTTTTCTCGATCCTTCCTTTTCTTCCGCGGAAATATTCTATTTATCTTCAAACTTGCCTTTATTTTCTTTCTGCGAGTAAACCGTCAAACGTTATCAAATCTGCGGGTTAGATTCCGTTGAAATCGCGAGATGGGTTTTTATCGCGTTTTAGATCCTTCCGGGCCGTTTTGCGATAAAAAACTGTTTTCCGACTTTTACGGGACCGTTTCCTGATCTGACGTCGTTTTTAATAAATTTCTCGAGTTAATCGCAAAGTTTTACGATTTACTCGACTTTTTATTAAAAACACGTTTTTTACGACTTACTCGGCGTTTTTTTATTAAAAACGCGTTTTTATGATTTTAACGAGGAATCTCGAATAAATCGTATAGTTTAGGCAATGTTCGGTGTTTCGTTTAACCGTTGCCGTTTTATATGATTTCCTTGAATTCTTTCCGAGAAAGCGAAGTTTTACGGTTTTTATCGTAAAACTCGAACGGTAAGTCGGATCGAGATGGAACAGGAGACGTTTTAGCCGTAGTTTAGAATGCAATTGTGTCGAAAGACGTAAGTTTTGAATCACGGATGCGGGAAATCGAGGCGCGGGATGTCCGAGAAGTTTTTAGTTCGCCCATCGGCGAACTAGTGGGGTGATTTTTAGTTCGCCGAGGGGCGAACTAGTGGAGTGTCCTTAGTTCGCCGATGGGCGAATTAGTGGAGTATCCTTAGTTCGCCCATCGGCGAACTAAGCCGGGCCGGCTTAGTTCGCCGATGGGCGAACTAGTCGTGACTAGTTCGCGTTCGCGTTTACGGCTTTTTCGGTTTTTTGCGATTTCGTAAAACGATTCTCGAATTTTATAAAACGATTCTTCGAGTTTTATAAAATGATTCTTCGAGTTTTATAAAATGATTCTCGAGTTTTATAAAATGATTCTCGAGTTTTATAAAACGATTCTCGAGTTTTATAAAACGATTCTTCGAGTTTTATAAAAGGATTCTCGAGCTTTATAAAACCATTCTCGAGTTTTATAAAACGATTCTCGAGTTTTATAAAACGATTCTCGAGTTTTATAAAACGATTCTCGAGTTTTATAAAACGATTCTCGAGTTTTATAAAACGATTTTCGAGTTTTATAAAACGATTCTCGAGTTTTATAAAACGATTCTCGAGTTTTATAAAACGATTCTCTAGTTTTATAAAACGATTCTCGACTTTTATAAAACGATTCTAAGTTTTATAAAATCACTTTTGCGGAAAGTAATGATCTCCCTTTTACAGAAGCTATCGAAGACGTTGATTTCGAGAGTACGGTTTTTGACACCAACATCCCTTATGATGTATATGCTGATATTGCTATTTTGCTTCAGCGCTTTGCTCCAGAAACCCTTATCATCCTCCCAATTATTGAAGTCTATGTCTGGTTCTTCTTTGAACTTCAACCCAGTGACAGCATGAAATTCTTGCATGGAGAACCTTAGCGCCTGTTTGCAAACTCAAACCACAACTCGTGAAGCTCGGAAACCTTGAGCTGTTTGCATATAAAGCTGTGAATGATCTTCCCTGAGTAAATGAGTTTGTTGTCTACAATTGCTAGAATCGGACCGAAGACAGAGTCTTTCAAAACTTCTTCATACTCATCCTTAAGAAAATCCTTCAACAATGCAAGCATCGTACGTCTACATGTATTGTTGATCTTATCAATTCGAATCTCAGCTCCTTCTTCACCGACCGTGAGCTGGTGATATCGCCTCTTTCTTCTCCGTCGGGAGCAACGGTTTTGTCTTCTGTTTTTCATTAAAGCAGCTGAAGGTTTTTTTTGGTTTTGTTAGCCAAGAGAGTTCTCGACACAAGTAATAAATCTCCCCTTTGGTAATGTAAAAATTTTATTTAAAAAACATTTACAAAATAATTAACATTTAATTAGGAAAATTTCAATAGAATAAGGACAAAAGGAGGTATTCATTATTCTGTATTATAGGGACAAAGATCCTAAATTTTGTTCCAAGGGGACAATAGTATAGATATTTCATCCCTTTTTTTGGCAATTTTCCCTTTTGTTAATATCCTTTCCGTGCGTATTTTGGGAGGAATATATGTTGCAAGGGCAAGAGATGTTGGTGTGAATAGCATAATGTTGTATCCTAAAGTTCCAGATACGTTAAAGGTTTCAGCACTTTCTTCTTCTTTATAATCAACCCACATGAAGTTCACATACAATAATAAAATTAATCTTTCTTTTAGTCTCCAACAGGAGAAGAGGCGTTCAACGACAATGGTCTAGTGCAACGACAATGGTCTAGTGGAACGAACAGTTGGGGCCTGTTTATTTCTCCATTTGTCATCTCCATCCAACTACTCCATCTAGATGTTCCATCCAGATGATCCATTTAGATTATAGATGATGTTTGTTTCTCCATCCAAATGAGCCATCTGAATGACTCATCTAGATGGATTTCATGTTCGTTTCTTTTTTTCTATTTCCATCCAAATAGATTTAACAAACAAATTACAAATATACCCTTATTTGATTTAATCATATGTTTGATAAAATTTTTAACTATACTAATTTATTATTTAATCTAAAATATACATTGAAAATTTTTTTGATAAGAAAACATGTTTTAGCGGAAAATATGTTTATTGATTTTGGCAGAAAAACATCATTTTTTGGTTTTGGCGGAAAAAACGTTTTCAGTTTTGGCGGAAAAAAAACGTTTTCGGTTTTGGCGGGAAAAAATATTTTCGGTTTTGGTGGGAAAAAAACATTTTCGGTTTTGGCGGGAAAAACGTGTGTTTCGGGTTTGGCGGGAAATGCGTGTTTTTCGGGTTTGACGAAAAATGCGTTTTTGGATTTGACGAAAGAAAACGTTTTACGATTTTGGCGGAAAAATGTGTTTTCAGGTTTAGCGGTTAAAACCGTGTTTTGGGATTTGACGGAAAAACGCATTTTTCGGTTTTGACGGAAAAACGAGTTTTTCGGTTATGGCCAGAAAATGCGTTTTTCAGATTTGGCGGGAAAAACGTGTTTTGGGTTGGGCGGGAAAAACGCATTTTTCAAGTTTGGCGGGAAAACGCATTTTCGGGTTTGGCTGGAAAACGCGTTTTTAGGTTTGGCGGGAAAAACACATTTTCCGGGTTTGGCTGGAAAAACGCGTTTTTGGGTTTGGTGGAAAAATGCATTTTTCGGGTTTGGTGGAAAAACGTATTTTTCGGATTTGGCAGGAAAAATGATGTTTTCTCATTTTTTTCATCACTTAGAAAATAATATTAAGTTTAGGTTTGTAGTTTGTGAATTATATTAAAGGTATAATAGACATTATACCATTTTGACAAAACCATTTCCATTCAAATTGTCCAAATTTATCCATTCAAATGGACTTAAAAATTAAGCCTATAATTTCAAAAGTCATTCCTATGAATCATCCAAATGATTTGTACTTTTAATGTCCAAACGAACAAAACTTTCATTTCCATCTAGATGGCTCATCTGAATGGAGAAACGAACAGCCCCTTGGTCTTCCCAAGGATAGATTCTCTGATCTCGTAAGATACATGTATTTATGTCCTATTTGCTCACTAGGTAGAAGAAGTGGTCCTTAACATGATTTTGTTTCTTTTCTTTTAATTTCAAAAGGTTATTTACACTGATGTCAATTTTGACGAGTACTCTTCCAGTGGCCATGGTGGGATCATAAGAGAAGATGGTAAGAAATGTTTTTTTGTATTTCTTATATTTTGTTAAATAAAACAAGACCTTTTCCGTAGTAACTTCGGAACGATTCATCTGTCTTACAGGTGTGATATTGAACGATGAAACAATTCACCAACTGCGCAAACAAGCAGTTTCTCAGGCTCGAACTGGAGCAGATGTTGTTTGAAACAGTGAGATGTTAGATGGTCGTGTTGGTGAGGTTCGTGCAGCTCTGGATGCAAAGGGGTTTCACCATGTTTTCCATCATGTCATACTCTGCCAAGTAAAGTACTACTTGAAATTTCATCTTACTTTATTTTTTTCTGATTAATTCCAGTCTAATCAACTGTCGTTACTTTACCAACAGGTATACAAGTTCATTGTATGGCCGTTTTCGCAAAGTGCAATTGGACAAGAAAACGTAAAACCACTATAGTCTTGATCGTTTGCTTTTTTTTTTGCCTTGACATGTTATCAGTATATATTTCCTATTGAAACCAAAATCTTTATTATTTAAAAGTATTACTAATCATAAACGCACACACTAGAAACTTTGTTTGCATTTAGTATTTTCGTTTACACTTTGCTAATATGCTTCAGTAAAATACATAAAATAAATTGTGTTTTTGTTTACACGATTTGTGTTTAAAATCTGTAAATGTTATAGATCAGCATTGTTTTTACATGTAAATCAGTTTACTCAGATTAAGGGCGGTTGAAACCACTACATCATAAATGGATAATTTTGTCTTGTGTGTGCATTTATTATGTTACTTTGCTATGCTTGCCCTACTAATTGATTTGTTATCTATTATATTAAAAGAGAAGTCATGACTCGCTTCATGTATGATTAATTAGTTTGGACTATTCTTAGAAATTTTATAAAATTTTATATAACATCATTATAATATCTTTTCATATCTTTAATTTTTATTTGAAATACAAATAAATAGCTTTAAGAAAATTCTAACAAATCTTTTAATTATTTTTAGAATCTTTTCAAGATATAGTTTCAAAAATTATTTGATTAAAATTTTAATTATCATAAAATATAATTAAAATTTTAATTCACTTTTTATTTATAAACAAAAAAAATTAAATCATGTAAAATACTTTTAATAATATCCCAAAATTTTGTTTATGTATTATGTAGGTCCAACTTAATTTACTTTTTACACATATTTCAAATTTAGAAATAAAACAAAATATATAAATTAGTAATGTTACATAATAATTTTTTTAAAAAATTGTTACAAAAATAAAAATTTATAAATTTTATATTACTAATATTATGAGCCACATAAATATCATTATAAAATTGGATAGTATTCAGAATCATATTATACTTCTTTATTGAAAATATTTACACTCTCTATTTCTTAATATATGATGTTTTGGATCATTACAAAAAACTTTAAGAAATTTACATTTTTCTACAAAAGTACTTTTAAAGAAATCATTTCACCAGTTATTAAAAAGACACTAAAATTTATTGGTTGAATAGTTTCCAATAATGTTAAAGATAACCTTAAAACCTAAAAATATACCTTAAAATCTCAAAACATTTTATATTTTGAAACAAAAGAAATCTTTTAAAACATCATCTAATTTAAAACAGAAAGAATATGATATAATTTCAAATATTTTCGTATTAAAATACTCACACGGTTGTGTGGATCAAGATCTAGTTGTGGTTAAATTTGAGTAACTATAAGTTATCAGATAAGCCCAGCAAATTCTAGAGAGACATTGATGGAAGCACGAGAAGACGAAGCTGAAGGAGTAGATATCCTAATGGTGAAGCCAGCGCTTCCTTCCCTCGATATCATACCCATTGGAGCTTGCCAGGTTTCTGGTGAGTACTCAATGATAAAAGCCGCAGGACTTCTGAAGATGATCGATGAGGAAAAAGTTATGATGGAGTCATTGATTTGCTCTTCCAGCTGCTACAATACTATGCGGCGAGAATAAAAAAAAGTTCTTTCAACTAGTCATCCTTAAGTTGCGTTTGCATTCGTTTTATGTTTATTATATATATCCACAACCAGAATTGCACGTACACCTTGAAAAACTGTTGTAAGAATAAAAAATGTACTTTTTACACATATACGCAAACTCAGAAATGGACTAGACATCTTTCATGATCTGTTGCTTCCATTCACTGAAATTTATCTTGTATTATTAATATTTTCATGTATCTTTACAACATATTCCATAAGGACCCAGAAATATCCCACTTCAAACGAACTATATTGTTTTCATCATTACGTAAAGCTGGTGGCGACGCAGAGGCGGACCTACTGGCTACGTATGCATGCTTGCGAATTACTATGCGGTATCTTTTCATATATTTTAAATGCAATTTCTTCCCCAAACCTTAATTTATCGACTATTTCAACGTTTAAATGATCATCATTTGACGTTACTCGTGATTCGTTACCTCACTTGCAAGCTAAGAATTAAATATGGAAGTTGAATTTACCAAGATAAATCTCAGATCAATCCTTAAACTGATACAAACTCTTATGTGTTGTGTGACGGAAAAAGTGAAATTAATATCCCGCGCAGTCCAAAACACTTTGTAATCTTCCTCGTCTGTATGCTTTCGAATTCTGCATTTTTCTTCTTGGATTCTGAGAATTGTCAACCTTGCGTTATCTTCAGTTGACGTTACTGTTCTTTGTTTCATTTGCAAGCTAGGAATCAAATATGAATGATCTGTTGTGACTTGTGAGTATCATAAAGCTTAATTAATCGTGGTGAGTTTAGCCTACCAGCTTCGTAGCATATACACTTTCCAATTAATCCCATATAGAATCAAAATCCCGAAAAAGTTTACCGAAATGACATTATATAGATATAAAGATCACTACTTATGCAATATATGCGGTCTACACGTTTAAAATAAAAAGTTAACAAACACTGTAGACACAAAGATGGATAATAATTTTATGCAACACCTAAACAAAATCACCCAAAAAAAAGTTGGGTAGATTGTCTTTATTCTTATGAACATTTATCATTTAAGTATCTTTCAGCCACGGCGGCATGAACAGCGGCTCCAATAGGTAAACTATCTTCATCAATCATGAAATGCGGTGAATGACCAATGTGGACTGATCCAACTTCCTCATTTCTTATGCCAATGAAGTAGAATGCGGCCGGGATGACCTCTGAGTAGAATGCAAAATCTTCTGCTCCCATCACTTGTGGAGCCACCGCAAAGTTGTTGTCTCCCAACAAATCAACGGTGACTTTTTTCAAGTGTTTGTACATTCTGTCATCGTTTGTGGTTGGCGGGTAGATTGCGTTCTGCTCCTCAAAGAAATTCAGTGTCGCTGTGCAACCGAAAACCCCGACCTGTTCCACTAGTACCTGCGTTACAAAAAAGGCATCTTTTAAATATGGTAATGCAATACTAGTAGCATGATATCCATATAGGATATATCTGCATTATCCACTTCAATATCGACCTATTTATACACATATCAAATTAATAAATCTATGAGTTACTTTCTGTAAAGGTAAAGTCTCAAATTTTTATTGACATTTTAAAACATAGTTTGGTTACTTGATGTGCTCCCTCCCGGTTTATATCCTATGGGGTAATCCCTTTTTTTATCAACCAAAGATTAATAAAACAGAAAGAGTTTAAGGCTAGACGCACAATGAGTTACACAGAGCAGACTTTGCTACACGATCTGCTGGCCCATTAAGGTCCTTTGAGATGAAAGTAAAAAAAAACAGAAAGAGAAACATGACGATAGGGTTTTGATATCCGAAAGGATTCTGTGGAAATCATTTGGTTTTGAGATCGAAACTATGGCTCTAATGAGCACAAGAGAGTCTGAACGAAGCCAGATGTTGGTGTAGCCAAGATGAATGGCATGAGAGAGAGCTGCTCGAATTGCTAAGCCTTCTGCAAAGAGAGCCGAAGCACATGCAATTGCGATTGGAAGCTTGGAATCAGGGGGGCATCGTGATTTATGAAGATCCATCCAAGTACTGTTTGATTTGTGGTCGGATTCCATGCTGCATCTGTGTTACATATGATTGTGCCCAGCGGTAGCGTCGGGGGTTGTGTGAGGGCCGAGGGAAGGGGATGGCTTGTCAGTCCTCTCAAAACTGTTTGAGCCCGAATCCATCCGTGGGCGTTTGAGATTTCTCTAGTGATCACCTCCTTTGGTGAGGAATATGGTGCTTCAAAAAGGAGTTGGTTGCGAGTAGTCCAAAGTGCCCATATAACTCAGGAGAAGATGGTGCTTGAGACTCCGGTTGGTGGGAGGCTTTTCCAGCGGTTTGCAGCCTCAGGAGAAGTGGCAAAATATACACATGACATGGAGCAGAAAGGTATTTCTAAGGGGCTTAGGTCCCATACTTGGGAGGTGAAACTGCAGTTAAGGAATAGGTGATCAACTGTCTCTGTTTCTCCACAGTGAACACAAATATCGAATCCCCTCTTGAGGAGATTGTCTCCCATTGGGATTGCGTTGTGTAGGATTTTTCGGATGAGGAATTTGTAAGGGGCAAGCGGCTTGCCAGACATATTTATTCCACTTTGTGGAGGTAACTGCTAGTGGTTGGTTTGGTCTGTTAAGTGATGTCTCAGAGGCAGCTGTGTATCCTGACTTTGCTGAATCGGAGCCTGAGGTGGAAGGGTACCAAACATAGGAGTCTTGAGCACCCGTGACACTCGGTCGAATCAGCAGAATATCGTCCAGTAAATCTGGTAAGATTTCTCTTATCTTTTGTGTATTCCAATTCACAGATCCTTTCAAGATTAGATCAGCAACAACCATATCCTTTGGTTGTTTTGCATTTAGTTCAATTATACTAAACTAGTTATGGTTTCTTTTCAAACAAAGGCTATATTAACTAAACTACAAAGATTCTGAATCTAAGAGCTAACTTGGTGAAATCGAATAAACATACAACATAGCCCAAGAGTAAGTCCACCTCGTGCAAACTAGTTTGTGTCAATCTTTGTTTTGTCTTGTAGAGCTGGGTTAGTAAGTGGTCTTTCAAAACATTAATGGGACATCATTTCATAGAGCTCCATTTTAAAAAAATATATATTATTGTATGTTATTATCTAGATATAAAATAAACAGTAAAAATTATGATTTACAAATATTGATAAATATTAAATAATATATAAATATTTTATTTTGAACAAAGTCAGGATTACTATGTGTATGATAAACAAATCAGGTAAACACATATTTCTTCGAGTGAGTTTAATATATAACTAGACTTTGATCCATGCATCCAGACGGATGTAATTTTTCTGTAATAATAAATAATTTTTATATATGTATATTAATATTGTAGATAAATAGCATTTACCATATTACATATCTATTTTATATGACATATCTACACATGACATTCTTATCGTTTGTAATTTTTAAAAAATATATTTAACTCATTTAGTTGTTTGTTTATATGAATGTATTTGTATATTGTAAAAGTTTGGAATATAAACTAAAACCAATATATAAGATCATTTATATAGGATATATTAGATATTAGGTTACCTAACCATTCATCTTCACATAAATATACTTAACATTTGAGTACAATTTCTATATTTGAGAGTTTAAACTTAACATTAACATGACATATAAGTTTTATATTAAAATTATTGTTTTAACCGTAAATGTAAATATTTTATTTAGATATGTATAGCTGCTATGTGTTATTATTTAGATATCTATATATGAATATGTATGTTATTATTTAGATATGTATAGGTATAGAGCTCCTTTTTATTTTGAAAAAAACTATATATATGTATAAGTATGTTATTATTTAGATAAAAATAAATAGTAAAATTATGATTTATAAATATTTATAATATCAATAAATACTAAATAATATATAAATATTGTATTTTGAATAGAGTCAGGATTAGCAATATGTATAAGATAAGCAAATCAGGTAAACACATATTTCTCTGATTGAGTTATATAATATTTGGGTTTCGATTCAGTTTGAACAACAAAAATAAACTGCATTTTCAATGGATCTAAATTTCGTTGGGCTCTGTTATGAAAATGTTGGAACTTTTGAGTCCATGATTTTGTACCGGATCAAGGCATATGCAATTCAGAACTAAGAAAATAAAAATTGCAAAAGAAACCAAAATTATAATCCAAGTGATTATACGATACGCACCTCTCGAATCCGCTTCATAAGATAGTAGAAGCTTGAGTTGGAAAAAGCTCTGAAAGTGCCCCCAAGAACCACCGTATCCGGCACCACGTTGAGACTGTGACCGCCATCAAACGAAGTCACCGACACAACCTAAAATTCGATAAAGTACTAATCAGAATTTCACTTTTGAAAATAATCAAATATCATGCAGTGTCGTTTCAGAAGCACCTGTGCATCAAGAGGACTAGCTTCACGTGATACAATGCCTTGAAGGCTTATGACGGCGGAAGAAGCTGCGAGAATAAGATCAGCAGAGCTGCCGATCTCTTCCGAAGTAATGATTGCCCGGAAAAATCCACATCCGGCGAGCAGAGGACCGCTCCTAGATCCAATGACACCCGTTGGATGCTCGTGGGACACATGGACTGCAAAGATAGCCTCTACGTCATCCAAGGCTCCATCTTCAATCATCTTCTTGGCACCGTTTCCGGCTTCTTCTGCCGGTTGGAATAGTAGAACCACTGTTCCCTTTAAAATTCAGTACGACCAATGTTCTTCATAGGTTATATGATGCAACAAATGTCATAGTATAACTATTAATTAAAATAACTTTGTGATAATATATAGTTTATTTTTTTTAACAAATTTTAAACTATTACGGTAGACCCGTTTAATTGTGTAGTATTTGATTGAATTTGGATGGATGCTTCCCCTTATCTTTAAAAACAAGTCATCATAGCAAACACACGCACTGACCACCACTCACAAGTCGGAATAGATATACAATCCACTCTTAAATATCATTTAAACAAAACAGTTTAAAATGTAAGTTATGCGATTTTGTAATGAACCAACTAATGTTTTTTCTTAGTTTTGTTCGAAACCAATAAACTAATTAATATTATAAGAGTCTCATGAAGTACCTTGAGAAGATGTTCACGAGACTTAAGAATTTGAGCAGCGCCAAGAAGCATAGTGACATGTGCATCATGACCACAAGCATGCATTTTGCCTGCCACTTTGCTTTTGTGTTTCCATTCCACTGCTTCCTATTTTACATGACCACAACAGCGTTAGTTCTGTTAATAAATAAAAAGGTAGGAAAGCACTAAGAGATATCTCTAACCATTACATATCAACCACATAATCTATCATCATCATATCTCATGTGAGACAGCTAACAATTAAAAAAACACAATATTTCCTAAAATGGTATATTGCACATGGTCACACGGAACAAAGAATGTAAATTGCATTATTTCTATATCTTTAACTTTTCATACGAAAAATTTAGCTAAAAACTTACAAGTACTATTAACCAGAAAGCATATACAAAAGTCCTGTCGTTCAATGACTATGATTTAGAGTTTTCTTTTGTCAGATGATAATATCCTAAAATACTTGTCACTAATTTCAGCATAATTTTGTTCGACATAATTAAATAAATTTCGGTGATTTTAATATATATCATGTTTTAATATATACTATAGCTTGATTCATACACCCGTATGAATGTTTGTTTTTACTTCGTATAATAAATATTTATTTGTTAATATTTATTTGTTACAAAAAAAATTCAATTCCACTTAAATGAAAATCTTAGAAAATGAGAGTAACTCTATTTTTGGCTTTTTTTAAGCTATTTGTGACAACAAATCAAATGCATATTGTTTCACCCAAGCATTTCCTATTTTGTGCACATATCTATCTATACACAATAAACTAAAATATTAGATTTTAAACATTTTTTTTTTCTCTTTACAAGGGAAAGTTTTGTTTACCTGAATAGGAAGGGCATCCATATCAGCCCGAACAGCTACAAAAGGGGGCCCACCGGATCCGATCCAAGCCCGAATACCCGTTTTAGCTAACGGATACTTGTACCGAATACCCAAACTATCCAGCTCGGTCCGAACGAGTCTACTCGTCTCATACTCCTCAAACGCAAGCTCCGGGTTTTCATGAATTGTTCTCCTCACGCGTTTGAGCCACGCCACGTTCTCCTGCTCCTGAGCCAGCCGGAGAATCTCATCGGAACAGACTTGGGTCCAGAGTCGACACTCATCTGATCCGACCCGACTTGGTATACTAGACGACTGGTTTTTAACCGGCGTTGTCCGTGGAAAGGTGTTTGGAAATTTGACTTCGATGAAAGGTAAATCGGTGGCGATGTTGCGAGAGAAGATTGTTATGGCTAGAGAGATGAAAAGAAGGTTGAGTTTTTGGAGACTGTCCATAACTTGTTGTTCTGTAGTATTTTTTAGAGAGAGAAGAGACAGAGAGATGAAGAGACAGAGTTTGTGATTTGGGAATTGGGCATGTGGGGGATAAAAAGAGTAAGAGAGAGAGAAACGGAAACTGAGCAGAGGGAGGGAGAGATTTTGACATGTGGGGATAAGTAAGAAATGTAAGAGAGAATTAGTCACGTGGGTTAATTAGACGTCGAATCGTAACGGCTGGATGGACCCACTGCTTTAACAAGGAGAATTCTTCAGACTTTTTTCACCGACTCTTTAGTTTTGACACGCCTCTTTGACCTGATTTCATCACATCCTTTTTGTTGTTATGTTGGACGGTGAGTATTGGCTACGATGGGCACAAGAGTATGGGGTATTTTTGATATACTTAGTACTGGACTTGGTTTATACGAGTAGTTGTATTTAGTTTGTTAAAAACAAATACTTGTAATTTTAAATATTTACAAAAAATTGTTGGATTTAAAAGTTACTTAACTTGTTTTATTATTTGTTACTCGTAAATTATTTACAAATTCATTCATAATTATTGGTAAATTATTTGATAATTCATTAAAATTTAAATTTAAAGAAAATTTAGTATATAAATAATATGTCATTATTTTCTTGTATTTATATCATTCGAAAAATACACTATGTAAGAAAGAGAAAATTTCAAAATGCTTATATATATATATATATATATATATATATATATAGCACTTATGTTTTAGTTAATTTTATTAATATTTAATATTTATTTTGTACTTACAAGTAGTTTAAATAGATTATTTAATACTTAATTTGATGAGAAGAAATACTAATATTTAAAGATTTTGTATCTATCAAGTAGTTAATAAGAAGTAAAAAACGAGTAATTGTGATCATCAATAAAATGTAATAAATAAATTTTAATTAACTAATAAAATGGATATCAAGTATTTAGTAAACCAAAATGATATATAATAAATAATAAGACAAGTAGATGATAATAAGTAACAAACCAAGTATTTATGAAAATGAATTTGACACTTGACTTGTACTTGCGAGTAATAAAATCTGTTTACTTGTTACTCGATTTAATTATAACAAGTACTTGTTTTTTCAAACTGAGCTGAGTCAAGTAGCAAATACAAACCGGATATCAAGTATTTGTGCCTAGTCCTAGTATTGGCTGTAGACACGAGTTTTATATATTTAACCAAAGAGTGGATGTTCTTACCTCCTTGGCAAGAAAGTCTGAATGGATGTTCTTGGACCTCACTACCTCAGTATACGAGATAAAACCTGAAAAATTGTCTCGTGAAAGAGAAAATGAGACTAGTACTAGCAATCTGCTGAAGAAAATCTAATTTTACTACAAATTTACTATCATTTTTTTTTCAAATTTATCTTTAACAGATGATTATTTTCAGAAATACTATAAATTTGTGATGAAAATGACTAAACTAATCTTTATAAATTGCGTTGGCTTTACATAGCCCAATTTCTGGTTATGAGAGATAGAAACGACAAATCTATCACAAAAATGTTAACATACAATTGTTTAAGGTGATAAAGGGTACTCTCCAATGTCATAATATTTGCTCTTCAATGCAGGGCCGGGCCTGACTTATTGGAGGCCCCATTCCAATTTTTTTTAGAATTTTGTTTTTATAGTTATAAGACTATATATGAAGAAACTATTTAAAAAAATTAAAAATAAAAATCATATGTACAGAAAAATATATAGATAACTTCTTTTTAAATTATATATAGTAATATATATATTAACTTTTTATGTATCTTATATATAGATTAATATATAGAAATAATTGTTTTTCAAAAAAATTGGGGGCCCTTATAAGGTTGGGGCCCCATTCAAATGTTTGTCATGTATGGGCTCAGAGGGTGGTCTGGCGATTATTGTCGGATAGGCAAACACTTACAAGTTTCTCGTCTTCACCTCCAGTTTCGAAGTTGAGTCTTATTTGGTTCGTCTGGGTTGCATGTGTGTTATACCGAGCCTGTCATCTCCGTGGAACTTTTCTGAATGTTCGTTCCCAATAATTCCAACCAATGTGAGGGATTGAGTATATATCCAAATAAATTTGTTGTTTTCTGATCAGAAAATTTGGGATCCGGGTATACCACATTCACATGGAAAAGAAAGAATCAAAACAAGAGAAGATAAGGTGTTTTTGGTTTCAAAGCAAAAGAATTTCAATTCCATAAATAGTTATAAGAAAAACATGTTATATCTCTTGCAACGAGAGTGTTCTCGTGGATTGTGATCTAACAAATGGATCACATTCACAATATACTTATAAATAAGTGACTTTCACTCACAAAGCCACAAGATAAATCATACAAGTCCAAGAACGACAAATGAAGAAGTCTAGTGAGTCAGCTTATCTATTGGGGTCAAAAACGGTCATCTCAAAATTAATGGCTAGGATTACTACTTAGGAAGATCCCTCTCGAAAGACCTTTCAGAAACACGACAAGCGAAGATATGCAAAGTCCGGTCACCATATGGTGACCGGTACGGGCTAATCCTGGTCACCATATGGCGACCGGTCCAACATGTGACTCGGTAGCCATATGGCGCCATATGGTGATCGGTTGAGCCCAATCCCAGTCGCCATATGGCAACCGGTCCAGCACGGGATTCGGTCGCCATATGGTGACCGGTTGAGCCCGATCCTGGTCGCCATATGGTAACCAATTGAGCCCAATCCCAGTCGCCATATGGGGACCGGTCCAGCACAAGACTCGGTCGCAATATGGAGATTGGTTGAGCCCAATAACGGCCGCCATATGTTGACCGGTCAGCACGGGACTCGGTCGCCATATAGTGTCTGGTTAAGCCCAATCCTTGTCGCCATATGGCAATTATTCTAGCACGAGACTCGGTCACCATATGTCGACCGGCTTGACCAATCCTGGTCGCCATATGGCGACCGGTCTGCACGAGACTTGGTCGCCATATGGCAACCGGTTTGACTCAAACCCAGTCGCCATATGGCGACCGGTTTAATACAAAGCTCGGTCCTTCTCGGTCGATTATATAACATATGGATAGTTCGTCCCTGCCTTTCCCCTTAAGGATCTCATCCGGTTTGATCCGTCTCGATCGAAATTACCTTTGAGGTTTTACAATACAAGCCATGCAGGCTCTTTTCTTCGTACGAAATTGGATCAATCGTATGAAACGACAACAACAACAGTTAGTCGAAACACCAGTCATACGATCGATCCAAACTCGTAACTTTCCGTAAATAGCATGAAGCCCACTTACAACTTTAGACGAGAATGAGCCCAAAGAAATTATGATGGTTTATCCGATACTCGCAGAAGAGGATAAATGCTAAATCTTTGAAGATAAATGGAAAGATCGGAGAAAAAGGAAAGAGTCCGCAAGAAGATAAACTTGGGCCTATAGGCGAGGAAGGTAGAAAGTGGCCGACTCCAAGATGTATATAAAGGGAGCTGGGTGGAAGCAGAAAGGGATGTTTTTAGACCTAGGGAACAATGGTTAGGTTAAACAAATTTAGGACTTAGGCGGCTAGACTAGCAAGTAGGAGACTAGGAACGTTTGTTTCTTTAGCTCCGCGATTCTCTTTGTTAAGCAGTTCTCGAATCTCTTCATTCATTCATTCATTCACACTTATTAATATAGCCTTCGCGCAATTCTTATTCGATATTCTATTATCCATCTCTTTGTCTTTTTGTGTGTTTCTTGCAGAGATCCGAGACCTCTGGAGAATTAGGGTTTCCTAACTTTCCTTATTTTACGGAAATTGATAATGTGAATTTCGGTTCCCACAATTTGGTGCCTAGAAGGAGGGGGGTCGGATTCTCTAAACTCGAAAACCACCAAATGACTAAGAAATGATATGCCTAACCAATTCGGCAGCGATCTCATCTCCTTTAATAAAAGGGCAATGACCAACCCGGCCAAACCTCTCAGCGATCTCCTAGTCGTTGAGCTGACAATCCAAAATATCGACGTCGCAAGAATATTGGTCGACACCAGAAGCTTGGCTGATATCATCTTTAAAAAAACCCTTGAGAGAATGGAAATCGATCCGTCTGAAATCGTGGAAAACCCTAGCTCGCTAGTAGGACTCTTGGAGGAAGATACCATGACTCTAGGCACAATCAACCTCTCGGTTACAGCAGGAAGCATGACAAAAATCGTGGAGTTCTTGGTCATCGATCGACCGACGTCTTATAATACGATCGTAAGAAATCCATGGCTGAAATCAATGCAAGCAGAATCCCGTCTACTTACCATATATGTCTAAATTTCTTAACCCCTCGCAGAATCGAGACCACCTGGGGAGGGGGGGGGGATCAGAGAATATCACAGGTCTGCTGCGATGCGGAATTAAAACGCAAAAACCATGAGCTGACATTCTGCCTAAAAAGAAAAAGTAATCACCCGCCGCTGACAAGACCCAGAACAAGATGAGACTGAAATCTTTTGGCAGTCACGAGTGGCTGAAGCTTTGGAAGGAAAACTCGAGCCAACCTGCAAACCCGTTATCTCGGTATGCTTAGACGAAGCATTCTCAGACTGCTGCGTTGAAATCAGTGCAAACCTGAGCGAGTCCCTAAAGACTGAGCTTATAGCTTGTCTGAAAAAGAACTTGCACACGTTTGCGTGGGTACATACCAGAAATCAACATCAACATCACATGTCACGAGCTCAACATCGACTCGACTTTCAAGCCTGTCAAGCAAAAGAAGCGGAAATTGGGACAAGAGCGTGCTGGAGCAGTTAATGACGAAGTTGAAAACTCCTCAAAGTAGGATCCAAAACGGAGGTCAGATACCCCGACTGGCTCGCTAATCTAGTTGTCGTAAAAAAAAAGAATGGAAAGTTGCGATTGTGTGTCGATTTCACCGACCTCTATAAGGCATGTCCAAAGGATAGCTTCCCATTGCCACACATCGACCGCTTTGTCGAAGCAACGACTGGGAACAAACTCTTATGCTTTATGGATGCCTTTTCTGGGTACAACCAGATTATGATGAATCCCGACGATCAAGAAAAAACCGCATTCATAACTGACCGCGGTGCCTATTGCTACAAAGTAATGCCATTCGGTCTCAAGAATTATGGT